AAACAACTTTGTAGCTGCCCCCTTCTTGTTTTGAAGCCTGCCAAGTCTCTCCTCCTGTGGTCTGTATCATGTTCCATCAGAGCCTCTGTGATGTTCTGAAATATCTGCTGGGCTGCAGTTTTCGTTGAATGCACCCATTGGGAAGGGACTCGGGTTTTACACGTGTAGCTGAAGACATTCGTTTTCTGAAATAGCTGAGTGAAATTCTCACTTTGCAAGGCTTGCGTCGAGGGAACTATACTTTCATTGAATCTTTTCCAACGAGGTTGCCAAAACATTACCTTCCTTCCTGCATTATGGAAATTGCAGAGCACAGAATATTAGTGACTATTACCATTATTGATGGGAATTTTAAAAGATTATTAGTGACTCTCCAATTGTCAGCAGGAAAAGAGTCAAGAAACCTTCAGTGTGCCCTGACAAATCTTCAGCAGAACTTACGAGGCTGTTAGGAATTTGTTGAGCTTTGGTGAGAAGGGGATATGTATTTACCATTAGCACTTTATTCCTCCTCTATAGGTCATAGTCAGTAGCTTTAGAAGAAATGGGAATGAAATGTTTCATCACAAAAAGCCAACCAGAGATGGCTGTAAATCCGTCTTATGCAAGTAGTAGAGAATTATTAAAGGAAATTTCCCGTTATGGGGTCATATCAATATAGGACTGCCTGCATCATCCGAAAAACATGAGCTTTTTGTTTTTGTTTAGGCAGTTCTCATGTTTGATTTTGAGAAATGTCAACGATTGTAGGAAAGTTAAAAAAAAATTGAACACACATAGCTGCTGACCAGAATTTGTAGTTTCTAATTTTTTTATGTGTGTGTTTCAAGTCTTTTCTTTAAAGGAAAGAAACAACCATCTTGTATGGAGTAGAAGGTCTACTCTCCCCACATTCCATTAGCCCCAGTTCCATTACCCTGCCCCTTGGAAGGGGAAACAATGTCATTAATTTACTGTGTATCTCCTACAGTTTTTCAGTAGTTCCACATATACATGAGATTCAAGAACTCTAAATAAGTTATCTACATTTATCAGTTGTAACTTAGACTTTCATTCTGTATTAATGTTTTAGGCCCACTCAAATTGAAATACTTGATTGCGGCCGGTGCTGTGGCTCACTAGGCTAATCCTTTGCCTTGCGGCGCCGGCACACCAGGTTCTAGTCCCAGTCTGGGCGCCGGATTCTGTCCAGGTTGCCCCTCTTCCAGGCCAGCTCTCTGCTGTGGCCAGGGAGTGCAGTGGAGGATGGCCCAAGTACTTGGGCCCTGCACCCGCATGGGAGACCAGGAGAAGGACCTGGCTCCTGCCATTGGATCAGCGCAGTGTGCCGGCCGTGGCGGCCATTGGAGGGTGAACCAACGGCAAAGGAAGACCTTTCTCTCTGTCTCTCTCTCTCACTGTCCACTCTGCCTGTCAAAAAAAAAAAAAAAAAGATTGCTTTTTTTTTTTTTTTTTTTTTACAAAAAGGATGTATTTATTTATTTGAAAGGAAGAATTACAGACAGAGGGAGAGAAAGAGAAAGAGAAAGAAATCTTCCATCTGTCCCAAATGGCCACAAAGGCTGGAACTGGGCCGATCTGAAGCTAGGAGCCAGGAGCTTCTTCTGGGTCTCTCATCAGGGAGCAGGGGCCCAAGCACTTGGGCCATCCTCTGCTGCTTTCCCAGGAATATTAGCAGGCAGCTGGATCAGAAGTAGAGCAGCCCAGATTTTAACTGGCACCCATATGGGATGTCAGCACTGTGGTCCCCGTGGTTGATTGCTCTTAAATGACATTTACTTTGTTATATAAATACAGACTTGACTTTTCCATTTTCCTCATCAACAGCTAGTTATCTCCATTTTTCTGTTGCATATAATAGTGTAATAAACATGTGTTATGTCTCCACTTAGAGGCTTGTGTGACAATTTCCATGCCATATATACTTTAAATGAACTCACCCTCATTTTCAATTTTAATAAGTATTGCTGAATTACTCTCCAAAGTAGTTAGGCCAATGTGAATTTCCACTGGTCAGTGGTGAGAGGACAATAGGTTCCTTTCCTTTTCACTGCCATTTATTGTAGGACTGAAAAGTTTGCCACTAATATGGGAAGGGAAATCATCTCTGATTTTAATTTGCATTGTCCTTTGTACTAGTAAATTTGATCTTTAGGTTTTTTTTTCCACTTTGAATTTTCTGACCTTTCTTGTGTCCATTATTCTGTTGTTCTTTTTAGTAATTTAGGAACATTTTTATGTAACCTAATACCTTACTGATGTTGTAGACATCTTCTAATATGAGAATTTAAAACAAAGTATGAAAATATTCCTTGCCATAGACAATTAGGGTATGTGACAAGGGTGCGAATATTTGACTCTTTCATCTTGAAGATTCAGATTTACCCAAATTTTCTTATTCCTCCTTTGGGCACCTCTGCTAAATCCATGGAAAAGAAAATATTACTTAACTTTTTCTGCGTAGGTATCTTTGATGTCATTCTTATATATTGCGAGTGAGTACATTGCTTCAGTTTCAAGGTGAGTTCTTTATTCTTTGGCAGATACTGTGAGGACTTAAGACCTCTTTGTGTCCACTTTTTTCTTTTTTTCATGTGATTTCTCTGGATCATGCTTCTAGGTATGAGGTTCATAGAGTAAAGTGTGAACACCACTGCTGATGAAGTCACATGGGCCCCCTTTTTATACATGCGAACTCCAGGAGCTGGCAGTTAGAATGGGATTTTTAGAAGTCCCACCAACAGTCAAGAATTGTTCTTGTCTTTTTTTTCTTTTTCCTTTCCATGACTCAAGTTTATAAATGGACACTGAGCAGGAAAGTAATTAGGTTGCTGACTGTAGATGGATGACTCCAAAAACAATACAGTCTACACCATTTTTGTTCTGATTATAATTAGAAATAAAACGAAACGGTTCTCTTGGTTTCAGAACTATGATGTTTTGTACAGTGAGGTATTTGTTCAAAGGTAGCGTGTCTTCCAGTAGCAGCCCAAATGGAGATTAAAGTATGAAGAAACATCGCCATAGAGCAATCTGAGACTCATGGTGGAGTTCAGGGTTTCTTAGCAGTGAGTCACATTGAAAACCCTGGTGATGGAGGAACAGCTGTGGCTTCTTCGGGAGGAACAAGGGTAGATCTGTGGAAGTTGGTGCCCATTTCCCTTTCTTCCATGTGTCTTGCCATGAGCATTGATTTGATGCTATCTTTAGAACAAGATAATTGTATTGCATTCATCATGTAGAAGTTACAAGTGTCCTTGAATACCAAACAGATCTCTGGTCGTATTTGACTTTTAATCTGACTCTGGCTTGAACATTCTTGCAATGTCCTAAATATCTGATGATACAGTATATAGCAAGTCTTCGCTACTGTTCAGACCTTTCTCTTGGTTACTGAGCTTTTATCTTTCCGTGCCCACTCTACTTGGCTGGAGCTTTAAACACCATATATTTGCCTTGGAGCTGGAGTGAAGAAATGCTGCCTGCAGTCTGTTTCTGTCTGGGGACAACTTCCGATTTTACTCCATTCAGAACTCCTTCCGTAAGTCTCCAGTGAAAGCCGCTTAATCAAACATCTCAAATGTCAGAAATGAAGTTTAAAGGGTTTTTCTAGCAAGTAGGTCTAATCTCCTACTTAGTTTTGATTCCCACAGTGTAGGTAATCTCTTTTGAGAAAAGGCCCGCTTCCAGCAGCGCAAATATATCCCATAGAGTGTATTTCCTATGCCGGAAAGAAAAATGTAGCGTTAATGAAATTTACTTTTTCATGGAGCTTGGAAAGGTTGTAAGCTTAGGATTTTGATCCTAGCAGATGTTCTGTTTTGGATATTAAAAAAAAAATTGCATTTGATTTCAGAGTCTGAGTTCAAAGTTGTAATGATAATGCATCTTAATGACCACACTCTGAGTGTGACGTACTGGTCACTGATTTTGAGTGACAGAAACCTTCCAGCCCACGAAGAACTAGCGTTGGGGGGTGAGGGGGAGGCAGAGGGGCGTTAACAGCGTGGGCCATGCTGTTCACAGTTGTAGGTTAAAGAGCTGTTTGTGAGCAGTGAGCAGGCATCATCGTAGATACATTTGATGTCATTTTCTATTTGGCCTCGAATAACCCTTCTACAGGCTAAGCACCCCAAATCCAAATATCTGAAATCTGAAATGTCCCCATATCTGAAACTTTGTAAGTGCTGACATGTTGCCACAGGCAGTGGCACCCCTGCCTGACCTCTAGTGACAGGTCATAGTCCTGACTCGGGTACACTATGAATATTGCACAGAATTAAACTTGGGCCATGCATGTAATGGGCATATGAGGCATAAATGGATTTCATGTTCTGACATGGGGCCCATCCTTAAGTTATCTCATTATGTATGTGCACATATTAAAATATCTGAAAATCCCCAAATCCAAAACACACCTGGGCCCAAGCGTCTCAGATAAGGGATTCTCAAGCCGTATGCCGAATCGAAATTTCCAGCGCACTTCTCGGTGCTTGCTGTTAAACTCAGCCAGTGCCCCGATTACACGGCAGTGGTTGCTTGTGGTGACTTCACCCTGCGGAGTCTTACTCTTCTCTGCCTCCCTGCCCATCGGGTAAAGCAGCTCTGCTTTTCCCCCTGGCATCTTGGAGAGAGGAAGCTTACCCTGATGGCTGGTCTCTGTAACGATTGGCCTTATTTTGTGGGATTACTGGGAGAAGGCTTGGGATAGGAATCGAAGTCTATCCATTTCCTGCCTTCAGCCTCTCTCCTTGACTCTGTGCAATAAACAAGCCATCGCCTTGTCTCAGAGCCATTCCTCCTGTACGGAGGCCCCCGCAAAGCACTGCATCCTACCCTGCATGTCCCAGAATAGGGTCCCAACCTAGGATAGCCCTTGCTTCCTGAAGAGGCTCTCTGCGGGTGATCCCTTCTGCAGACTCGGATCCCGAGGTGGAGACCTGTTGGTACACAAAAGGAGTCAGCATTGCCTCATGTTGACTTTGGTTTTTGTCGTGCAGGCTTCCAGTGAGGACGTCACTCCCTCTCCTGAGTACAACTACACACCTCTGCCTTCTGCCTCCAGGGAGCTCACCAGCCACCGAGGTAGGAACTCGGGTTGTAATTGCTCTCGGTGGTGGCAGGGACGGTTAGTGGGCCTTGCGGAGCTCTGGGCTCATGGCTGTTGCGACGATGCCTTAGAAGGAACACAGAGCTTTTTAAGTCCTTGATGAGAAAACCATACCTGTCAAACCCAGCGGTTTTAACCCATATTAAACAGAATTTAGTGGCAGTCTACTGGGGAGGCAAATAAATCCACAGTGCAATATAATTTTGAAAGTTTTTTTTCTTTAATAAAGAGATTATAGTAACTTAACAATTACCCAGGAGCTCATTACCCCCTGCTACTTTAATGGGGAGAAATTGGGAAACTCGCTAATATTTGTGAAAGTATCATTGTTTGGAAGTATAGTAGTTGAAATCTGTAATTTCACATTACAGCTAAAAGGAATTCCATTTTGCAAGACAGCCTTGGCGAGAGTCCACGGCGCTGTGTGTGCTGAATCTCCCTGCGCCTCACAGTGTTGCTTTGCTGTCTCCACTTGTTCCAAAGCTTTGGGTTCCTACTGGCATTGCCAGAGTCTTCAGGTTCAGAGGCAGTCAGAATGTGGTGCTGGAATATCATTTGAAAATGCCTTAGCTCTACCCTGGCACCTGGGGTCAAGGGCTATGTGATTGCCTGAGCTGGAATTGATAAGGGCAAGAGAAGGCCTTGCAGTGCACTGGTTTACTCCATTTTGCTCTGGTCATGACCATGGCTATGTTTCCTAATTGGGGAATCTGTCTTCGAAGGTTAAAGAGGGAATCGCACGCTTTAAGCACTGTTCGCCAAGTCGGCCATCCCCCGTATACAGGTTGGGGTCACTGAATAAGGGCTGTCCCAGCTTTGTCAGCCCAGCCGCATGTCCGGATGTGTTCGTCAGAGGCAAGGGCGTTCAGGCATGGTGGAGCCGTCCCTCTGAGATGGCGTAGGTGCTCTGGACAGATGGGGCACTAGTACTCTACAGGAAGTGATTGAGAAAGGAATGCAGGGCTCTGAGAGTCTGGGACTCGGACCCATGTTCCAGATTTGATGTCGGGGCATCAGAACTTTTCCACGTGTAAATGGACGCAGGCTTAATTGGGATTCAGTTGCCATTCCCTTCAGTGATTATCTGTTTTGTGAAAATCGATTTTGGTTGAAGTCAGGTACTATGCATAGCTGCCGATCTGGTATCTCGTGCGGGGCATGGCCAGATCTCTTTTACTGTTTTTGTAAAGGTCTGGAACGTGAGCCCGTAGGGACTGCTCTTTTGTGAATTCCCCTAGACAGATAATACCACATGTAGACGGCACAACAAGTTAACCCTTAAATTAGCATCATATCCTGGTGGGTTTATTTGTTGATTTCTTAGATTTAAATGAGGATAATTTTACTCTGAAGCCTACAGAATAATGTGCATAGGGACTGAAGTCTCACAGGCCTCCGGCCCCCTTAGAAAAGTCTATCTGGCCTTGAAATTGAGATTTCACAGTGGGAGGATGTGATCAGATAAATGATAACCATCAGGCATAGGACAAATATCATCTGTCATTTTAACAGTCATAAAAGAAACCCAAGCCTTAAAGAAATAGACTATAAGGCAAACCATTTTTGAAGGCTTTTGAGTAATATTTATAATATGCAAAAAAGCCCAAGGTAGAATGCTAGTAGGTGCCCTTGATGACATCAGTGCCCAACATCAATGGAAAAAGAAACATAAAAATGTTATTTAGAGGGAGCAAAAAACAGACATCTTAAGTTTGCTGAGGAAAGCCCCTGCACACGTTAACACACTAGTGGGTGCAAAGGACTTGGATGCTGAAAAAAATCAAGTCTGCAACATGACATGATGGTCTTTGGCCATGAGGAGACCAGTAATGAGAAAACCGAAGACGTTCATTAAGGGTGGATTATTGCTGGGTTGGTCTCTGGAGGGGCCTTCACATGAATCATACACCAACAAGTAACATTGCTTTTTTGGCACCCAAAATGAAATCTCTTAATGCTGTGTCGTGTTTATATTGAAGAAAGTTATTGCAGTATAATATATTTCTGTAATCACTGAACTATTTGAGTGCCATTTGCTAATTCCCTGCTGGCAACAGCTTGCAAGCATTTACGCAGAGAGGACTTTGTATGGCACAAAGGTAAATGACATCAATTCCTTCGGAGGTGAAACCCTCCGCGATGTCTGCAATGCATCTCTAAAACCCTAACTGGAAGTTCTATTTGCAAATAATCTTTGATTCATCCAGCTCCCAATCTCTTTTCATTCCGCACCAACAGCTACAAAAACCAGCGGGCAGTAGTTCATGTGCAAATTGCTGTTTTTCTGTACGTGCCATTTCCCCTTTACTTGTCCTTTTATGTAACTTGCAATGTCGAGTGTGATAGGCCCAAGATTCATGTTCTTCGAATGTAGATTCAAATCAGTGGAAGTCTGGGCCTGGAATAATGATCAGGACACAGGGGACTCAATTTCCCCATCTGTAGCTTACAGTTAATCCATATATCATAGGCATAGTAATGTACAGAGCTTCCTGCATGAAACTTTCCCTGACCTGAGCTGTATTGATTTTTCCCTTTCTTGAGGTACTTAGAATATTTGTTTCTATTTCCTCAGTGCAGTTGTTCATATTCTGCTTTGTTTGAAAGATGTCAGGCTCTGTAGGTCTTAAATCCTCATAAATGCAAACTCCTCGAGAGTCAGTACTAAGCCTAACTCGTCTTGTCGTTTATGTCTCTGACTCCTACTCATGCTTCAGTCATCACCTTAAATATGACAGCTACAAAGGGTACTCATCTAACCCTGCCTTGAATATTCATCGTAGGCTGCCTTGCCCTGTTCCATGCCTGCCGTGCTAGACAGTGTGATTTTGGAAGGAGTGGAGGAGATTCTGTTTGCTCATCACCGTGTCAGCAGCGCACGGTACAGGGCCTCATACTTGATTGGCACTCAAATATGTATGTGATGAATGAGTGATTGAAAGCCAGGGGAATAGTCGGTATCTTTTATATCTCTGCAAGGTAACTTGATTCCTCGTCAGAGAAGAGACCCATCTGCCTTGAGGTGAGGACCCTGGAGGGAAGGGTTAGCCTCATACAACTCAGCCCTCATCTCTGCTGCTTTCAGAATCCTAGATCATCATGGGTGAAAGCCATGGCTATTTATTTAGGAAGATTTATTTAATTAATTGAAAGGCAGAGAGAGAAAGAGCAAGAGTGTGGTGGACTGAGAAGGCCATGCCAAGATGGCCACTGGTAAGCAAGCGTCAGTTACTCAGGAATGGCTTTGGAACCCACAGGGCAATGAAGCCTGCCTGGCAACAGGCTGTGATTGTCCTAACCAATCACAGCCCCTTGACTGGATTGGCTGCCTCAGCTATATAAGCTGCTGTACCAACTGAAATAAATGAGTTTGCGGGCTGCTAGCCTCTGGCCTGCTTTTACCCATCTCCCGGTGTCAGTGTGGTGACTCTGCACCTCTTGCCCCCACTGTGCTCCTCCTCTCAGAACAAATCTACAGCAACATCTGGTGCCCAATGTGGGGCTTAAACCCACGTCCCTGGGATTAAGAGTCTCATGCTTCTCTCCACAAATTCACTCTCCAAATAGCTGCAATAACCAGGGCTGGGCTAGGCTAAAACCAGGAACCAGGAATTCCATCCTGGTCTGCCACATGGGTGGCAAAGTCTCACATATTTGGGCCATCTTTTGCTGTCTTTCCAGGTACTTTAGCAGGGAGTTGGATCAGAAGCAGAGCAGCCAAGACTCAAACCAGCACTCTGATAGTAGACCACAGCCACTGCTTAGCTGGTTGCACCCCAAAGCCTGCCCCAAGCCATAACTGTTGGTTCCAGCCAGAGAGCATTTATCTACAAGCCTAACAGTCAAGTGGAGGATTATTTTAATGTTGTAATTTTTTTAAACTTCAGTGTTCTGATAGTAAGGAAAGAAATAGGATACATTGCAATTATTGGAATTATTTTACTAAACAGAGCTCATGAACAAGGGGTCTGGACTCTTAGCAACATGTAGGCTGTGGTACACCGGTGGATTTGGAGTGGTCTCCATGCAGTATTCTGAGAGTGCTGCCCTAGGTTTGAGTGTACCTCTGCAGGATGGGGACCATGGGGCTGGCTGAGTGCCTCTGCTGTCTCCTAGCAGCAGTCCACATGCTGTGTCCTCAGCAGGTGCCCTATGAAAAACACTGATAGACTTTCTGGGAGGATGTGCCTTTAAGTAGATCACGTGGGGGTGGGCATGGTTGCACTGTTGATTAAACCTCAGCTTGGGACGCCCACATCCAGGGTATCATTTCAAGTCCTGACTCCTCCACTTCTGATCCAGCTTCCTGGAAGGCAGTGGATGATGGCCCAAGGACTTTGGCCCCTGCCACCCGTGTAAGAGACCCAGATGTAGTTCTGGGCTCCAGACTTTGGCTGGGCCAAGTTCTGGCTGTTAGGTACATTTGGTAAGTGAACCAATAGATGGGAGTGCGCTCGCTCGCTCGCTCACTCGCTCGCTCTTTAAAGTGGATGAAAATGAGCAAAGTTTTTTTTTTTTTTTTAAGAATGTGAACTCAATAAAAAGGTTGTATGGACAGGATATACCCCAATGTGCCAGCCTTGCCATTCTTCATCTGCTGCTTGCGACACATAACAGTCATGCTTCTGTGGGCCACAGTGACTTTTGGGGAAAGCACTTCTATTTAGAGCAGAGACCATAGTTGTTCTCAGGATAACCTTGTAACATGGAGAGGGCAAATATTACTATTCCTACTGAACAGAGGAAGACACCAAGAATTAAGCAGAGCCACCCACTGACAGGGACAGGGGAAAAGCATCGGAACTCTGCCCTGGAATCCTGGGTCACCCCTTCACACAGGACTTGGGAAGCAAATGTGGGAAGGGCTGACCGCGGGGGCATTGTGCTACATGGCAGAGAAGAAAAAGTACAGGGAGATGCATGGCCCAGGAATCACAGCTCAGGGTGGCTTTCCAGGGTCTGAGCCACGGCTGCA